AAGAAGGATCTCCAGCCAAAACATAGCTTCCCCTTCATTTAAAAGAGAATGCTTTTGTTTCATGTTTTGTATGTAAGTAATGTACACACAACAGTGTCATAGATGCAATGAACATGAAATTGAGCAAAGTTCAGAGGACGGCGGAAGACAGGAAGGCCTGGTGTGATCTGGTCCATGGGGTTGCGAAGAGTCGGACTCGACTGTGCGACTGAACAACAACAAAATGTACTAAAACAATCAGATTTTTTTCAGTGTCGTTATACTCCACGTGTGGCTTTCCTGAAATACATAAAGTTTGTTTTTCTCTTTTCTGAATCCTGTTATATCACGGTTGCTCTTAAATTCTGCTCACCTTCTTCCTTCTGTCTCTGCTCCTTTTTAAAATTCTCCTACCTAATGCTTGGACATTGTAGATCCTGAGAGTATCACAGAATAATGCCAGCTTGCATAAAAGAAAATAAGCATAGTTGGAGATCTGCAGGCAGTTATATTTTATCAAATAAAGGCAAGCCATGTTATCTGTTTCTGAAAGGGCTATTCAGTACAAATGTGTGGTCATCTTGATTGGGGAAAAGTGCAGAAACCATATCCCAATGTTCTTCTCTGACGCTGGCCCCATAATTCCTTGGAAATGCTTACTGCTCACTTCAGTTTGTGTAATACAAGCTGTAACCATAGACTGTGGCTTCCTAGAGAAGTGGCTTCCTTTTGTGATGACGGAGTTCTTTCTGGTAACAGGTGTAGAGAATTGTACCCTGGTAATGCTTTCTTCTTTTTTTTAAAGCAAGCCTAGGAGAAGAGTAGGGAAAATTAAATTAAAGGGGAATCACTGTTACTTCCTCTATAACTTCTGGGGCAAGAACAGAGCAATAGCTGGTTTTGGCAAACTAAAATTGTTGTTTAATGGAGCATAACCTGTTATTATTTATTATTTTTTTACATTGGACAGATAGCTTCATTGAAGTGAATGCTGAACTAAGTAGTGAGTTTCAGGATGAAACTGACCGGGAGAAAGAAATGGGGGCTACCTCTTCGGTGGCTGCAAAGGGAGATCATGAAGGTACCGCTGAGAGATTTCCAGAAAATGCTGGCGAAAATGCAGAGCTGACCATACAGCAAACTGTGGAAACCAGAGGCGAGGAGGAGGATGCAGTTAACGAATGGCAGGATATCAGTATGGTAATTATATTGCTGTCTGCTGTACTGAACGTATATCAAGGGTAGGGATGTGTTCAGAGTGCCAGCAAAACGCGATGACTCAGGTTCCCATCTTTAACGTACTGAGCAACCCTGTAGCTAGACGATTGGGGGGGGGGTTCCCACTGGGGGAACGTATATCAAGGGTAGGGATGTGTTCAGGGTGCCAGCAAAACTCGATGACTCAGGTTCCCATCTTTAATGTACTGAGCAGCCCTGTAGCTATACGATTGGATGGGGGCAGCATGACATCACTCCTGCTGTTACAAAAATAAAATAAAAATAGAAGAGCTGGCTCCCTGGCAGGGGTGAGAAGGATGATAACAGAGCAAGGAAGCTGACGTCACCTCACCCCTCAGCAGAAGAGCCATTCTCCTCCTCTGGGGCCTTGCGGGCTGCTGCTGCAGCTGCTGGGCCCATTCCCATAGCAACGGACTCATAAGAACATAAGAGACACCAATGTTGGATCAGGCCAAAAGCCCATCCAGTCCAACCCTCTGTCACACAGTGGCCAAAAATACCCGGTGCCATCAGGAGGTCCACTAGTGGGGCCAGGACACTAGAAGCCCTCCCACTGTTGACCCCCCCAAGCACCAAGAAGTCCCTGTATGGCGCAGGGAAGGCCATGGTGGAGGAAGGGCCCAGGCCTACCCAGTAGCATCCTCCCCTGCCCTATCCAGTCATGTACCCCATGGGAGTGGGGCTGCACCTGCTTCTCCTACTGTGAGAGAAACACATGGGGATTGCAGTGGGCAGGAGGGGCTCTGGCAGTGCATTTGTGCACTGGAAAGCTGAATGCGTGGAGCTGCTGCCGTTGCCACTCTCCCTCGCTGCCTGCAGGGGTAAGGAGCGTGGTGCACCAGGGGTGGGTGGGTCTGGCATCCTCCCAGGGTTGGGGGGGGGCATTGCGGATTCGGGAGGGGGCACCATCCCCAGCTAGCTACAGCCCTGGTATTGAGCAAAAAAATTACTGTCAGACTGCAAAGCAGACTGAGAAAGGGATGAAGGCAAAGAGGAAGGATTCGGGGCCTGTAGGTCAATTTCAGGAGTAGTGTGTAGACTGTCTGCATCTGTATGGTATATAAAAATGATTTCATGTCTTTGCAATGGATTGAGAAGCATCTTTTTTGTAATGAATTGGACACCCCACCTATCCAGGCTTTCAAGACGTTTCTTTTGATCGTGAGGACTAGTAAGGTGTTAGTTTTTAAAACTAAAAAGAGAGAATAAAAATTCCAGCTACCATTGATGCATATGTGCATCCCTGAGCTGGTTTCCAGGGGGTTGCATAATCCTCCAGGGCACAGATTTGACAGTGCTGTCCTAAGCAGAGTTACACCCTTCTAAGTCTATTGAAGTCAGTGGTCTTAGAATGGTGTCTCTCTGCGTCGCATGGCATTGAAGTATCACTGTCATTTTGGTGGTGTGGGTTTAAGGAAATAATTGGTTTTGCTTTGTCTTTATAGGAAGAACTGGAAGGCTTGGAGGCCAACCTTTCGGTTGAGCAAAACGCACTCCGGGCTCAGAAACAGCAGCAGGAGCGTATCGCTGCCACTGTGACTGGACAGATGTTCTTAGAAAGCCAGGTATGGGTTTATTATGTGTGTGTGTGTGTGTGTGCATTGTTTTGTTTACCATTGCCCTATAGAGACTTCTTTTTACAAATGGGTAGACTGACTTGGCCAGGGTCTTGCAGCCATGGGATTTGAGTCCCCTTTCCTGTTCTTTTCCTTCTGGAGTCACATCACTCGCATTTCTCTTTCCTTGTCTTAGTGAAGCAGCGACGGTGCTTGATCCATTTCACTGAATAATTTCGGGAGTAGTGTGTAGATTGTCTACGTTTCTACAATATATAAAAATGAGAAAAAAATATTGGGGGAAATTACTTCACTTATCCCAATGTTGTGTTTTTCCAGAAGACACATGTCTGGGAAACGAGGAATGGGAAGCAATAAAATAAATGTATAGCTCATGAAGCAAGCAAAGTTTGGTGCAGTGGTTAAGAGCATTGGACTCTAATCTGGAGAACCGGGTTTGATTCCCTACTCTTGCACCTGAAGCCATCTGGGTGACCTTGGGTCAGTCACAGTTCTCTCAGGTGTTTTCTCAAGAGCAGTTCTCTCAGAGCTCTCTCAGCCCCATCTACCTCACAGGGTGTCTGTTGCAGGGAGAGGAAGGGAAGGAGACTGTAAGCTTCTCTGAGACTCCGAATGTAGGGCGGGGTATAAATCCAATCTCTTCTTCAAAGCAAATTGATATTTTCATATAGATGAAGAAAAACAGGCATCCTTACATTGTTAAGAAACCCCACTTACTCATTTTAGTAGTTCCTTCATATGTTGTTCCTGTACGATTTGGACGACCTCAGGCAAAATGTTACCCAGCTAGAACTGAAAGGTACTTTAAAGGTGGCAGATTGTCCAGTGGCTTTCTTTTGCCCCCATGCAAATCAAATACATCATTTTGAATCAGGTTGTTGACAGAACTGTGCGAGGCAAGAAGTCTGTGAAAATGATGTAGTCCTTATAGCACTTCAACAAATTGAATTAGATCAGTAGTAAAAGAGGAAAAGGAGCCATTTATTTAATGTACTACCAAGATTTGCATTTGCGGAAGAAGAAACGAGAAGGAAAAGACCTCATGTGGTTTTTATAGGTGGAAAAAAATTATAAGGGGAGTAACCAGTTCCTCCAGAGCAAAGCTAGTGTTAATAGATGTATCATATAACCACAGATATAGTGAGCTTGGAAAATTGTGTATTAGAAGCACCTGTCCGCAAGAGATTGATTTGCATCACTTACACAGCTGACAGCCATAAATATTACCAGTGAGTTTTTTCAACAAACGAAAAGGGTGTGCTCAACCTAACCAACTGCTGTCTTTTTTGAAAAGTTCTGTCACAAAAATGCATGTGGTGTTTGTGAGTTTGAGATCTTTGCAAGGTATGAGTTACAATAGCACCTCCTGCTTAATTTACCCGGTGGTGGTTTTTCATGCAGTTGCTGTAATGAATAGAAGAAGAAGAGAAGAGATTGGATGTATACCCCGCCCTTCACTACCCAAAGGCGTCTCAGAGTGGCTTACAAACTCCTTTCCCTTCCCCTCCCCACAACAGACACCCTGTGAGGTGGGTGGGGCTGAGAGAACTCTTGACAGAAACTGCTCTTTTTCAAGAACAGCTGTGCCAGAGTTATGGCTTTCCCAAGGTCATCCAGCCAGGTGCAAGTGGAGGAGTGGGGAATCAAACCCGGTTCTCCCAGATTAGAGTCCACGCACTTAACCACTACACCAAACTGGCTGTTGCTGGGCGACTTGAAGGGATCTGCCTGAGTTTTTCCTCTCTGGAAAGCTTGCAGATGTTTCACTCTGGAGACAGAGTGCTGTCTGAGGGCAGTGGCTGTTCTTGAGTCCCATAACTGGGGACCTCATCCTGTGTGTAGAAACAGTTCTTTTGTGGATACCCCAGATGGTGTGTTCTGGGTTTGGGTGGGTTTTTTTTTTTTTTGACAACTGTATAGATTTATAGCTTGCATAAATGGAGTGTTAAATGCCGTCAAGTTGCTTCTGACTTATGGTAACCCTATGAATGAATGACCTCTGTTATGTCCTATTGTTATAACAGCCTTGCTGAAGTCTTACGAAGGAGGCCGTGGTGTCTGATATCAAAACCAGACAAATCCCTCCTTCTTCCCCAGCAGGAGAAGGGGATTTTTGCCTGATTCCCTTTGAACCACAGTGAATTTTGTTTGGGGAGAGGGTTTTCGGGGTTTCAAGGGTAATAACCACCTCCACAAGCTCTCCTAGTGACTCTGTTAGGTCTGCCTTAGTCTCTACTTAGGGTTTTATAATGTCTTCCTCTTTGAGATCAGTAGTGGCCATTGCAGGAGAATAAATGTTTATTTCATGCTGAAATACAGGAAGAGTTGAATGTAATGTGTGCTTCTGATAGAAAAGCGATTATCCCTATTTGTTTCTTGTGTTGACATACCAGAGTGATAACCAGCTAAAGTGGATTAAAACCTACCTGCACCTTCTTCCCAGATAAGACTTAGCTTAGACACAGTAAAATATACTGTGTGTTTTAAATGGTGATCTGTTTTATTGAGATCGACTCCCATGGGTCCGTTCTCTTTAAAGCCAATTTGGTGTCGTGGTTAAGTGCGTGGACTCTAATCTGAGAGAACCGGGTTTGATTCCCCACTCCTCCACTTGCACCTGGCTGGATGACCTTGGGCAAGCTGTAGTTCTGATAAGAGCTGTTCTTGAAAAAAGAACAGTTTCTGTCAAGAGCTCTCTCAGCCCCACCCACCTCACAGGGTGTCTGTTGTGGGGAGGGGAAGGGAAGGGAAAGGAGTTTGTAAACTGCTCTGAGACTCCTTTGGGTAGTGAAGGGTGGAGTATAAATCCAATCTCCTCCTCCTCTTCTTCCTCCTCCTCTTCTTCTCCTCCTCCTCCTCTTCTCCTCCTCTCCTCCTCCTCCTCTTCTTCTCCTCTTCTCCTCCTCCTCCTATTCCCCCTTCTTCTATAAATGTTGAATTCTTTTCCTGTTCCATGTACAGGAACTTCTGCGCCTTTTTGGCATTCCGTACATTGAGGCCCCAATGGAGGCAGAGGCTCAGTGTGCTGTTTTGGACCTGACTGATCAGACCTCTGGGACCATCACAGATGACAGTGATATTTGGTTGTTTGGAGCCCGGCATGTTTACAAAAACTTCTTCAGTCAGAAGAAATATGTGGAATATTATCAGTACGTGGACTTCCAGAATCAACTAGGTGAGGCCAAAAACCTTGTTTATGTGGAATTTTTGAATCCCTGTGCCTTTTCAAAGATACCAGCTTGGGTCCGCTGTAGGAGTTCCATGTATGAAACGGGGAGAGTGAGTTCTGTCCCCCCGCCCCCCCCCCGCAGACCTCTTTCTTCCTCCTGTTTCTGGGTCCCCTTTGCCCTTAGAAACCGCATATGAGGAGGCAATCTGGGCTGCTCCACACGTGGACTTTAGGCATCTTTGCTTATCAGATTCTCAGGTTTTTCAGTAATAATAGATATCCAAGTGCTTTCCCTCAGATTCTGGCTTTATGAGTTCCCTGTTTGCTGTTGACTACTCTGTAGTCTTGGGGATGTAATTTCACTGTCTAGAGATGTACCCTGGCTGGATTATCTTCATGGCTGCTGCTGCCGGGCTCTGGTTTAGCACCCCAGTCTTTCTGAGAGGGTATGCAAGGACTCATGTTTTGCCTTCTAAGACTGGGAGTTAACCATGTCTGTTCAGAATTGTAGGGATACTTGGAGTAAATTATATGGTATAACTTTAGATGGAACATCTGTCAGACCTCTAATGGTAGCACTCCATCTCTCCATGCACCTCTGGCCTTAATAGCCCTTAATATTGCAACAGCACTAATAATTGAGATTGGCATCTAGCATCAAGGGATAGGGTAGAATAAATTTTCTTACCTTTTGATTCTGCTTCTATGCACTCTTGTAATGAGTACCCTTTCTTGGTGGATATGTGTGAAGACATGAGAGCTTCATATATTCATTCCAAACAGCACTGGTATTTAGAGGTTTGTTGCCTCCGGATATGGAGATCCTTGTTGTTTGCTATAGCTAGCATCCATTGAGGCATTCTCCTCTATGAATCTGTCTAATCCCCTTGTACATCCCTCCATGTAAGGGGCCATCACTGCATCCCTGGAGAATGAATTCAGAATTCTGGGCTCTTTGTGCTTGCTGATGGTTAGCAAGGTTTTTAACCTCAGTGTCTTGAAGCCTTCCCAGCCCTGCTGCTGGAGACCTCTTTATTGAAAAGACTGGCTCTGGCCTCTTGCTTAAGTCAAAGCTTTCATTCTGTTTGCCAAGCCGTAGTTCCTTTCTCTGGGTATGTTGGTAAAGCTGATCCTTGTTGGGATAGAATTCTTAAGACTGTGCTGTCAAATCTAGCTTCCTCGTTTCCTTTCTCTCCCCCCCCCCCAGGCTTAGATCGAAACAAGTTAATTAGTTTGGCGTACCTGCTCGGGAGTGACTACACAGAAGGCATTCCTAACGTTGGTTACGTCACAGCGATGGAGATTTTGAATGAATTTCCCGGGCGAGGAATGGAGCCCCTTCTCCAGCTTGGGTAGGTGATTTTCCTTCCTCAGTTGTCTTTGGTTCTCTGTCTTCTCCTCTGGTGCAAACTCTTACCATTAGCCACAGAATTGTGACTGGTAGAATCTGGCTCTTGCCCACTTTGGAGGTGCCATCGCAGTTCTCTTTGTGAACCTTGCATCCTGTGGCTGTAATCTAAAGAGCAGACGCGTGTCAGAAAAACACTTGTGCTGATGGGCGCAGACTGTCTCGGTTGGTTTCAAAAAAAGAGTCAAAGGGTGGAGCCTAGTGGTACCTCTCAGGGGAAGAAGGCATATCACAGTGCTGGGGCAACTGCTGAAGAGGCCCTGCTACTCATAGGCCTGAAAGGAGAGGCCTGGGAGTTGTATTACATTTGTCTGTGGTGTCAGTCGAGTCTTGAAATCAACCATATAAATAGAGGTTGGGTGTTTGTCTACCACGGGTTTTCTGTAGTTTGATCTTATTGGCCATCAGAAGCCAAAGGTAGACATCCAGCTTGGGGCCAAATGAGATTTCTTCACTTCTTTGTTCCTCCACATCTTTTTTTTTTAATTTACAGTTTTTTATTGATAAGTAGGAAAAACAAGAGGTAATAACAGTTCAAAATACAATTTCCAGTACAATGAGTAAGAGAAAACAAACTGGTACGAAGATGCGTACACATTGTACGTAATTAGAGAATAAAACTTAACATCGAGAAGGATTTACTACAACTATTGCAATTAGATAGTATGATAAGATACTTGTTTATACAACCAATTGACTGCTGAAATTAGCACTTATAATAAGAGTTTGATAACAAATCCTTTTAAAGGTTAAAAGAAAAGTTAGCTGTGAACGTTAACAAGTATTCGCTGATCCTACTGGAAAATTCTGACTTGAGGTATATTAACACAAAGTTAGGAACGTACTTGTAAATTACGAGTCTTCATTTTGTATGGACTAGATCCCTTGTTTCTCCATATCTAAGAGATGATGTTAGCGTGTTACAGACTCCCATTATGGTTGGAGGGAACAATTATCTCAGAATTTATATTATAAATTTGGTAGTAACTACACACAGTCTGAATAATCTTTGGGATCATTTCTATATGGCTGTGTGCTACACTTTATTTGGAAATGAAAAGAATTCCCGATAAATCTGTGTTTTAACTTAGCCTTATGCTAGATATGGGGAAGAAGTGAATATGTCCAGGCAGAAGGTACAGTCCATAATGGAAACAGAGGGGGAAAGATCCCGTCCTTAACAACAAGATGCCATCTGTTGTATAATAACATTTAACAGGAAACAGACAATTCTGATCTCGCATCAAGGAAGTAGTTCTGTACTTGACTGAAGCTAGATGGAGAGAAGAAAGAAGAGGAACCATTTGAAAATCACATCCCTAAGTAAATTCCTAAGGGGGAGCGCAGTGTCACAGGTGTAACATATTTAATTACTTTGCAGTGAGGTTACCATGGATACCAGCTTTCCGTTTGCAAAATATTGTGCATAGAGGAGGGCCTCGTTTTTGGAGATCCTAACATACAGAGAGGTTCAGATGGGGGTGAATGTTCCCCGAGGCACTCTGCATCCAAAGTGCTTAAGGCTTTAAAGCTCAAGAACAACTCCTTGACCTCGGTCCAGGAATGTATTGGTAGCCAATGAAATCGCTGTAATTAGTTGCCACTTCTTTGCACCAGCAGACACAAAGACAGTTCAAAATTTCAAGCTACTTGAAGTTGTTCGACAGTCTTCAAGGGCAGCCCAATATAGAAGGCATTACAGTAGTCCAGTCTGAAAGTTACAAGGGTGTGAATGCCTCTGGTTGAGTCTTTACATCAAGGTAGGCGGCCATGTTTTGCCCTGACGTCCAGAGCCTTGCAGCATCTACCTGTGCTGTGGCAGCAAATAAAATGTGGGTCAAAGACGAGGGTTGTAGTTGGTCAGACTCAGTGGGAGCAGGCTGAGCCCCATCAACACTGCCAGCACCTCAGGGGCTCATCTCAGACTTGGCTGTCCAGGCCCGTGGTCTTCTCCCACACTGCTGGCCTTAGCTGTGCTTAACAGTGCCACAGTTGCCTAGGCAGAGAACCAGCCTGTTTATGCTGCGGGGAGTGTTGTTGTTGTTGTTATATAACCAAGCAGATAACATACCGTGAGCTGATGTAAAGAGAAAAACAAACAGCCACTGTGTTTCTGTTCTGCGATTTTTCTTTTAGGGAGTGGTGGGCGGAAGCTCAGAAGAGCAAGAAGACATGTCCCAATCCACATGATACAAAAGTGAAGACAAAATTGCGGCAGTTGCAGCTGACGCCTGGCTTCCCAAATCCTGTGGTAGCTGAAGCTTATCTGCACCCAGTGGTAGATGAGTCGAAGGGATCCTTCGTTTGGGGAAGACCAGACTTGGAACAGATCAGAGAATATCCTTTCCTCCTCCCCCCCCCCCCCCCCCCGTGTTTGTGTGTTCTTCTGATCAATCGGCGCATATAAAGGAACTCTGCTGTTTCTCTCCAGTAGGCTTGCATTCGGTTCCCTCCCTTCCGTCAGAGAGTGCCGTTCACGGGGTCAGTGCAATAATCATCAGGGGAGAGATTTAGGGGAATTTGTCTCTAAATGCAAGCAGGATCCAAAAGCAGTTAATCGGCTCAGTGCTTTGTATGATTCCTGCTCTAGATGCAAGTCAAATTAGCAAGGGCAGCTAATTCAGTGGTGTTTGGCTTGAAAGGATGCAGTGATTGTTGGTGTACCTTTAATGCAGCCGTCAGAATGTGAGAAGAATGGCGAAGATCTTTGCCTCTGGGAAAGGCTGCAGAATCGTGAAACGGCAGCTGTTTAAAATGATCTCAGCTAATAATCATAATCACATCAAGTCTTTAATAATTTCAGGTGGGGTAGCCGTGTGGGTCTGAAGCAGCAGAACCAAGTTCAAATCCAGCGGCTCCATTAAGACCAACAAAGTTTTATTCAGGGTATGAGCTTTCGTGGGCATGCACACTTCTTCAGATATGTTGAACTTCCATTTCAATGTATCTTGAAGTGTGTGTGCACACAGAAGTTTATACTTTTTTTGGTGATAAAGATGCACCGGACTCGAGCTTTTTTCCCTTTAATAATTGTTAAGGTTTTTAAAAATGCCTCTTATAATTAGGGGGGAAATGCAAGGATGACAGGACAATAAAGCAGTAAAAACTGCCTAATTTCCCTCAGCTGCTACAGCTACAAACTTATTCCCTTTATAAAAAACGCCCTCCTGAATTATTCTGTACGACACATTCTTATGTACTGTCATTAAGTACCTCTGCTGCTGACTCTTTGGTGTAGTGGAGCCAGTTTGGTGTAGTGGTTAAGTGGGCGGACTCTAATCTGGGAGCACCGGGTTTGATTCCCCACTCCTCCACTTGCACCTGCTGATGTGACCTTGGGTCAGTCACAAGCTCTGGCACAGCTGTCCTTGAAAAAGAGCAGTTTGTGTCAGAGTTCTCTCAGCCCCACCCACCTCACAGGGTGTCTGTTGTGGGGAGGGGAAGGGAAAGGAGTTTGTAAGCCACTCTGAGACTCCAAGGGAAGGGCGGGGGATAAATCCAGTCTCTTCTTCTTCTTTAACTGCTAACACGTTTTGCCAGAGTCATTTTGGCTGGACCAAGTTGAAAACGGATGAAGTCCTGCTGCCTGTCCTCAAACAGCTGAATGCTCAGCAGGTAATACTAGAATGCAGAAGTATGTATCTCTGTGTGTGGTCATGACGAATTATCGATGGTGAATTATCCAAACTGTGGATTGTTGTTGTTGTTGTTGTTTTGCAACACAGTAGCTTGGGTCCACTGGAGCATTTCTGCAGACTGAAAGATTTCATAAGAACATAAGAGAAGCAAATGTTGGATCAGGCCAATGGCCCGTCTAGTTCAACACTCCGTCACACAGTGGCCAAAAATACCAGGTGCCATCAGGAGGTCCATCAGTGGGGCCAGGACACTAGGAGCCCTCCCACTGTTGACCCCCCAAGCACCAAGAATACAGAGCATCCCTTGCCCCAGACCGAGAGTTCCTATCTATACCTTGTGTGTAATAGCCACTGATGGACCTCTGCTCCATATGTTTATCTAATTCCCTCTTGAAGCTGTCCATGCTTGCAGCCGCCACCACCTCCTGTGGCAGTGGATTTCCATTTCCACCTGCCAAGTGCGACTTTCTTGCCTCTCCCTTCCCACTAGAGTCTAAAATGCTGTTCATAGGAGTAGTGTCTGGGACTGCAGTGGAAGAGAGGAGGCAAAGTTGTGCGCTTTGTAGGTGGAAATCCTTCCGTCTGTAGCTCTGGTGGATACACATTTCAGGGTCTACATTCCAACGGAAACATGAGAAATTTGAATAGAAGAACGACACCAAATATATGCTGGGGTGCAACGGTTGCTTTGTGTTTATCTCTATGTTATAGTTATATTACAGTCAACATAAACATCACTTTAAAGTCTAATTAAGAAAGCAGATGACAAATGGAAATTCAGTGGCTGAAGAAAATTGTCCTGTCAGGGTCAAAATTCAGTCAGCCGCGTTATAAAAAATGCAGGAAAACGGATTTATGTATTTTTGAATTTTACATTCTGCCTTTCAACCGAGTTTGTAACGTAGGGATTTGGGATCAGAATCCAGAGGGGCAAAATTGTCATCAGAAGCTGCTTCTTTCAGACAGTTGGAATCAGAGGATGTTTCGAGTAGGGAACAGTAAAGGCAGATTAAAAGAAAGGTAGAAAGGGGCACCCCTTTGGTTTACGCTCAGCCCTCCTGAGTTCTGCACTCCAGAGCTGTCAAGAGCACAGTGCAATTTAGATCAAGCTCAACCAGAAGAAAACCCCCCCCCCCATTTTTTTTTAGATAGTGTGAAAACTTTGGTTCACAGTTGGCTAGAATTTTTTTGCCGAGAGAAGCTCAACCCCTTTTCCTTTGCCAGCATGCTGGAATCGTTTCCAGATTATAATTTGTCACTTGGTAGTAAACACTCCCATTGCTCATGCTGACTCTCAGTGCTGAGGAGATGGAAGATTCATCCAGATGGTGTCCTTTCGTGTGCACCGTCCCAGAATAAAGCCAGGTCCCCGTCCCCCAGGATCCTTCTGCTTGGTGTGAGAGGAGAACCATTAGCAATGATCAGGACCTCCCCCAGCTGTGTGGTGCTCCAAAATCAACTGCTGTATCGAGAGCTGCCGGGCAGAATCTTAAGGGATTGATAAGCATTTCTAAAGCATTCAGCTTGGCTATTCTAGTCTCCGGTTGGAAACAGCACGGGTGACACCACGGAAAGCGAACATTTTCCACCATTCCTTAATCAGGAGTTGGCTAAATCCATTTAAAAAAAATAAGCATGTGTTACGCATGCGGAAAATAAAACTCACTAGCAGCAGTCTTTGTTATATCGACTGTGGCCGTATATTCTGCCTTAGCTATTCTCTGTAGTGTCTTCCAGCACATCACGCAATCCTTGCTCGTCACTGTTTTTAGCTCTTTGCTTATTCTTTTTACTCAGTGCGTCTCATGTATATCTCGCCTTTCTTTTCCAAATCAGCCCTTCCAAAGGCAGCTTACGACAAATGTATAAGTACAGTTCAGATGGGGGGGGGGGAGAAATTACATAAAAATGCACTCCATTTAATACATTATTTAAAATATATCATAACTATATTGACAAAGAAGCAGCCCATATTAAAGAGCTACTTGTACAAAGCTAGTCTGAATAAAGTCTTCACCTTCCTGCTCAAAACATCCAGGTCCGGTCTGTACTGGGCTGTGTTTGTAAAGAACTGCAGCTAAGGTGCCACTGCCAAAAAGGTCATGCTCTTCACTCTATTGAGTCTTAACACTCAGTGAATGGTATCTTGAGGGAAGACCTTCCAGAAGATTGTAGTTGACAGGTGTGGACTGATGGTCCCAGGCCATAGAGAATTATTTTTCCCCCTCCTTTTCCTGCTACAGTTCCCCTCATGGTAAATGTTTCTGTTTCTGTTGTAGACACAGCTCCGTATCGATTCCTTCTTCAGACTAGCGCAACAAGAGAAGCAGGCCATCAAGAGTCAAAGGCTGCGCAGGGCTGTGACTTGCATGAGGAGGAAAGAGAAGGAGGAGGAGGAAAGCGAAGTCTTCCAGGCTACAACAGCCCTTAAGGGAAGGGAAGGGAAGGAGGAAGGTGTGACTGGAGTCCCAAACCGCAGGGGCAAGAGAAAAAAAGACCCATCGCCCAAACAGGAGAGCTTTTTTGGTGGCGGTTTCATAGGGGAGGTGCAGCTGACAGAGTCATCCAGTGGGTCATCAAGTGACCAATCAGAGAATGAAGCCTCAGGGAGGCGCCCCAGAGGGAAGAACACCAAGATGCTCAAAACGAGCGCTGCGAGTCACGAGGCCCCTTTGGGGCATGGAATGCCACGAGAGGAAACGGGGAATAGTAGCTCCAGCACAGAGGAGGAAGCGACTATGGTGACTGCGAGGCCTGTTTTTGAGGGCAAAAAGGCAAAGGGACGGTCTTCAAGAGGAAGAAGAAAGAAATAATGTCAGCGGCAAAATACAATACAGGCACTTCTTAAAAGCTCTTTTCTAAATAGCACCATGAAATCTTCACAAGAAAAAAGGGTCCGTTGTCCCCCTCTCTCCCACTTCCCTCCCTTCTGTATAGATTAGCACTATTTAAATGAGACATTTTAAATATAGCAAGCATGAACTGTAATATTTAAAACTTTGTTAAGAGGCTAATGTCAGATCCTCTTCCCCTGTGAGCCCCCCCTATCTAGAAAATTCCCATTAGAATAAAATTGAGTCCTGCCTCCCTTGAGAGGTTTCTGAAGGTGATCGGTAATATAGATGTTTCTCATAGTGGAAATGAAATCGTTCTGTAATGTCGCCAATCCGTCACTCAGCTTCACGCTTCGTGAAATGTGATAAGTAGCATACGGTACCGTACAGGGTTTCCGCATTCAGCTAGGAGGAATATTTTGGGCCACTTCACATTCTCCATTCCCTGTTGTTTGCCTTACACTGAAAATCATTTTAAATGTGGCATTAAGTGCAATGTTTCATCCAACGGCAGTGGTGATGCATAGGAAATGGAGGATGGGAGAGGGGCACGGGTGACTTTTCAGTGGTTGTTGCAGATTTGCCACCCTTGAAATTATCCCTTAAACCAGTTTTGATTTCAGATTGCAACATTTTGGAATAACTTTGTTCTCTTTGTTGGGGGCAAAGTAATTGTATGCCACTCCAGGTTTGGTGCCTTCCAGAAGGTTGTTTTCCAAGCCAATTGTCGAGAAAGATGCAAGTTCACTAAAATTTACTTGAGTAAAGCCGACTCAACAAAGAGTCAGGCTGGGCTTCCGCTCTTTTCCTTTGAATATCAGCGCCTGAAACACCGTCTAACCAGCCTTGCCGATTATTACTTAGTCCAATAAAATATATCAACTTACCCTTTATGTTTCTCATCCTTAGCATCAGAATCCTTGATTATTTTTTATTGGAACATCGTGACATGAGCTTACCTTGGAAGCTCGTTCAAGGCTGTTGTCTCTTCCCGTGGTGACGTCCTCATGCGAGGACTGTACCACCTCAGTTTCTTGTGGATGCCTTTTCTGTGAAACGCCATGTTTTGTTTTGTTTTTAGGATTACCGTGACAGGTCAGAATATTGTATTTTAAGGTGTTCCCTTTCTGATATGATCTGGTTTCACACAAATGGCTTTCAATATCAAGCCAAGAAGGTAGAGCTGAAAAGCAGACATAAATGGCAGTAAGTTTACTAAGGCCTCGGCCACACGTGTGTGTGTGGGGGGAAGCGTGGCTGTTTGCCCCGGAGCAAACTAACGCGCGACTGTGCGATCAGGCTTCGGGTTGAGGTCCCGTCGAGCTCCTGTGGTTAGGGGGGAGGTGCTGATCACACACACGGCAAAGAAGCGGAGTGGCAAACAGGGTTGTGTTTTGTTTTTAAAACTTAAATGTGCGCATGCTCCGTTGGGTGCTTGTGCGCATCCGTGGAGACTTGGGGGGGGGGGCTTTTTGCGAGGGGACATGGGCGGGCGCCGGAACTACCACCGGAAACGCGATCAGACGCCCGCCCTTGCCCCACGGTTTCCAGAAACTAGTACCTCCGAGGTACTAGTTTTTTACCCCGCATCTTTGGCGGGAAGCTTCGGGTGCGCCACGGGAGCTCTACGCTTCCCAGATGTGGCGGTGAGATCGCGCCCGGAAAATCCGCCTATCTTCCGTCTCTCTAGCGTGCCTAATGCTCCGTGTGACCGGGGCCTAAATAGTTTTGACTACATGGACATTGAATTCCTTTTCCTGCTGGTTGTGTTATGAAGTGGGCCAAGTCAGACGGAAATGTTCACCGTCACTTTGTCCAAATTTAGCAGAACCTATTTACTGAATAAAGTTTTAACAAGCAGAAGAGTGCAAAATGTGCACTCATATTTTACTTCCACTGTTGGGAGAGAGCCAGAAGTGCTCATGTAGTGGCCAACTAAAGAGTTGAAGAGCACGAGAGAAGCGAGATGTAATGACAGTGTTTCAAGATGGAGAACGCAGTTCATGGGGCCACTGAGGAAGAGAAATGGCAGCGTCTAAAAACATGGCCATGTTCACTTCAGAGCTGTCTTTCCATAGGACTTGGGAAGACAAAGGGAACCACTGGAAATATCAAGCTAGCCCTGCTCTAACCAGGCATTGGGTTGATAGGAAACAAATGAGCTGTTGATAGGTTGGGAAGGAGATGAGGCAGTAGGAGACTTTCTTGGACGCATTAGGTGTATATCTCATGGCTCTCAGGTATGTGCTATTCCGAGGTCCAGCTCTCGCAGGGAGAAACTGGTCGTCTGTGGTTTCAGGAAAGTAGGACCCTGTTGTTCTTATGGTTGTTTCTACCTCTGCAGCTCTGCTTTAGTGTTATACAGAATTTAATGTTTGGATTTGGAAAGCACAGCTGACACGTTAGATGAAATTTTCTGGTTCTAATTTTCTAAATTTAATTTCAGACAGGTATCTGTGGTGGTTTGTGGGATCAGAACAAAACAGGAGTCCAGTGACACCTTAAAAGACTAATGAAATGCACCATGCTGGAAATAAATTTTGTTAGTCTTTCAGGTCAACGGTGGACTCTTATTTTATTCTTCTACTATTTCTGTTGTTAAAATCTGTTGCATCTGAACACATGAAGCTGTCTTTCTGTTGGGTCAGACCAGTAGTCTTTCAAGGTCAATATTGTCTTCTCTGACTGGCAATGGGTCTCAGTAGAGGTCTTTCATATGGCCTAATTCCTGATGCTGACTATTGAACTCGGAACCGGCTGTGTTAAAGCAGGTGCTTTGCCGCAAAGCCACGGCTCTCCCCCGAACCAGAGGAGGAACGTGTTCAGCGGCTTCTCTCTGCACCACCATCTTCCCTTTAGTTAAAAACAGTGCTGAGGGAAGAGTCGTGGGACTCTGGGCCTGAGAAATAGAGGAATAGGTTGCTCTGTTTCTGCTCTGTCGCTTTCAGAAGGATAGATATCCTTTTTCCAAGCAGCCTCTTCTTAATGCTTCTACAGAGCAGAGAAAGACTTTGCTGCTTAGTATTTTGTCTTCTGAAAGACCAGCCAATATACATAGTGAGCCGGCGTGAAATTATCTTACCTGCTTTGCAAAGATGAGTCTTGAAGGTGACCTTCCCAAGATTTTGGCCTGTCGTTCTGCCAAAGTGTAGTATTTCATAACAGCGGCAGCTCCATCCTCTGAGGCATGAGGTTTTATAGAACGTGTCTCATCCCACCAGTGTGCCATCCCATTAATCTCAGCTGCTGAGCGTGGCATGGCCCCACCAGTCCTTTCTCGAGTCTCCAGAGAGATGTCTTTATTATTGATCTGTCTAGTGGTTGCACCTGTAGTCCATTCCAGGATTAATCCCTGCGAAATTGCACAGAGACTCTTTGTTCTGATGACATGACAGTCTAATTCAAAGTCTTGCAGGAGAACTACAGGTAAGTCCTGTAATGAGAAGATCCTATTTTGTGTGCAACAGAGAGGCTGGAGAAAAAGATTAGGATCTGTTGGCAAACTCAACATACCGTATCAGGTATTTCAAATGTGTGATGCTTATATGAAGAAATTTATGCTAACGAGTTGGACATTATGCCTCAGTCTGCTTCTCTGGTATCTATTTCTTCTGTGCCGTGGCAGGCTCCCCACACTCCTCCCAAGCATCTGCTGACAGGATTTTGGGAGGTGTAGCAGCCTCTAGTGTGAAGGGGAAGGTGGAAATTTGCTGTTTATTTACTATATTTTTTTATTCTGCCCTTCCTACCAGGAGCTCAGGGCTGTGTATATTATTCTCCCCCTCTTCATTGTATCCTCACAACAGCCCTGTGAGGTAGGCTTAACTGAGAGGGTTCACAGCCCATGGCCATCCAGCAAACTTGGCAGAGTGGGGATTTGAACCTGGGTTTTCCAGTCTGTCAGCTGCATCGGATTCATTCATTTATTTATTTATTTATTTTTGGGATTTATATCCCGCCCCATGAGAGTTTATGGTGGAATAAATTCAGTTAGTCTTTAAGGTGGCTACAGGATTCCCATTTAATCATGCCTAGCGAGTGTACATCTGGATATTTGCTTGAAACCGGATACATGCTTCCATACAATTTTATGGGATTCCAAACCTGGGGCTTATCAATGTATCATCTCTTTTTTGACATTTCGGGCTTCCTGCAAATAGGTTCTAGGACTAGAACTTCAACAAACAGAGTTCAGGATGAAGTAAACCAAAAGCAAACCTTTCCTGTGGAAATAGATTCTGGCATAATAATTTCCATTCAAATAGAGTGATAATAGATAGCAGACGCACAGAAGCAAAATGGAAAGCAGGACGTTTTTCAACAATTGAGACACATCTAACTCTTCAGCTGAGCTGACCGGACTACAGTATGGTGTGTTCCTGTCAAGATTAGTACGGTCTTGATCCTTTCACAGAGAAAGGAAAGTTTCACTCCCTGTAACCATTCTAGGTGCAACTTGTTTCCTCAGCGGCGAATTCATTAATATTTTTCACTGAACCAGCTACAGATTCAGTAATAATGGATAGTACTTTGCACCAGAATATCTAACCTCTGCTAGTTCAGTGAAGTTTTCAGAAAAGCAGACCTTTAGTCTTGCTTCAGTGCAACTGCCATATCTAAGGTATCTAATCTCTGGTGTGATTTGTATGTTTAATCATTATCATTATAGATTTTTATCCTTATGGATCTATATGTCTGAAATATAATAATAATAATTTAAACAGAACAGGACTTCAAACAAAATTTTCCTACCCTTTCCCAATATGAGTACTGAAGGCCAGTCCAAACAGGTAGATCTTTCAGAAAGGAGATTATCCTTAGATTTTGTTTGGGAAGACTGCATTGAAAGAAAGCTCCATAGATGGGGGAAACCACTATGGGAGCATCTCTCACCATGCTGTTGTCAGATCTGACACACACATGGTATTCATTGGGCATCCATGGCAGATCTTGGATAACATAAATAGGATTTGTAGGAGAGGCAGACTCTCAGGTGTGATGTAAGTAAGCTTCTTAAGGATGTGTAAGTTATAAATTGCATCTTGAACTATGTTTCAAAGGGAAGACATTTTATATTTTGCCACCAGCATTCTAAAAATAGTAAAATCGCTCTGGTGATTGTGTTTTTGTTTGTATATGGGAGAGTGTGTGCGCGAATGAATGACTGTTCGTGACATAGTACAAGTGGTAGCCAATTGATGCCTTACATATGTCGCTTTTCCCCATTTCATTTTTTTCCTTTAGAAGTATCGAATATTTATGTTCTGAAATTCAAGTACCCTGAGACATTCCATAAGCTTCTGTAAGAGTCTCTGCGAGGAGGGCAGGATACAAATCAAATCAATCAATTAATTAATTAAATTAGAACCCACATTTCTAGTAAGGTTGCTACCCTTTCAGTAATTTATTTGTTCAAGTTTAAAAAAAATAAATAAATCTGTCGGGGGGTCTAAAAAGCTAGTAAAACATCTCCTCCCATTTCAAAATAAACCACACTGAAAGTTCACAGCACTGTTTTCCCAGAGCTTTCCTAAAGTGAGGTATGTTAGCTCTGAACCCGGAAGTGCCCTTCCAAGCTAGCATGTTCACCCTTTAAATCACAAGGTTTTCAGCTTTCCTATTGTTGCCCACATAAACAATGTCTTTATTTGAATGTGTTAAAAATCAGAAGGTTGGGGGTTTTTTGCTGTGATTTATTCTACTAATTTGAGGGATGGTGAAGTGCGTGTCTCTTCTCTGTAACATCTCTGTCTCCTAGGATAGCTCTCCTTCTTTATGTAAGTGTGTTGAGGGTAGATATTTTCCCTCCCAATGAAATTCAAGGGGCGTGTCCACTTTGTTCACTCTGCAGCTGTCAGGATTTATTCATTCATTATAATGGGGGGGGGGGCTGCTGAAAGGTTATGTTTCAAACTTTACTGCGTTTCCCCCTGGGGCTATTCATGAACTAAGCGCTGGAAGAGAGAGAGTCTGTGGATTTATAGTCTCCATTTCTGGACACCTGGAACAAAAGAAAGACTAGGTATGTTGCTGAATGCGTTGGTGTAGACTTTTAAGACTCTAGACATTGCCAGCTTTATTTTAAAGTACAGTTTTGATTCCTCTGAATGCCCTCGAACCTTTCATGGAATATATTGCCTGTTTAGATAAGAAATTGTTCTAATTTGAAATACCAGTAGTACAGTCATAGTAAAAAAAAATTATACAAAGCTAGTCAACAGGGTAACTTTTTTTGTCCTACAAGTTGTTTTGGAATTCAGATAATAGTATCCTAAGGGGATGACCTTCAAAGTAAGCATTTGTAAAAGGCCATTATGTCTTCATGCTTGTGAGTGATTGTGTAGCTAAGCAATGCTGTCATTTAAGATGAAGCAAGATTCCCCTGCAAAACTCTCTCTGCCTCTCTAGAAGGTAAAGGCTACAACTCTATGCTCACTGACCAGGAAATAAGTCTGAGAGAATTAAGTGTGACTCATTTCCGAGCAGACATGCATAGAATTGGGTTTCATCTGTCACAATACTCTATACACAGTGAAATGTTTTGTTTGTTATTTGCTGCATAATGCTCTTAAAATAACAATTTCCCACCGGCACTATAGGAAATAATGTGGAATTACTTGAAAGGATTCGGTGACACAGTACCTATAAAAATGAAGTGTTCTGGGAGAGCTTGCTTACTACTATTTTATTCCATAACAACTATTGATGCAGTTGTATATAGAGTTGGACAATGGAGAACACTCACCTATTCACTATAACGAACACCTGTTGCTAACAGGTACCTGCTACAGACTACTGTTACTTTGATCACTTAAATAATCCTAAGAGTGGAGGAAGAATTTCTGGTGCTCTAAACTACTGATAAAACTTTATATTACAGTGAACGTCCAAAATGTAGAGCATGTCAACATTCACATGGGAGTGTTGAAAATCCCCTACAAAAAGTAGGATCCCATAGAAAATTGCTACTAATGGAAGAATTTTCTATCAATGGAGTAGGACTTCCTTGCCCCCCTCCCAAAATGCCCCCAAACGCTGCTCCTGGATGGGACAGCCTCCCCACCCACCCCCCGACAAAATGGGAAGAGTCCGAGGTCTGTGGCAGGAGAGGAACTGAGCAAAAATTGGACCCCTTCGATCAGTGGAAATTTCTGCGGGTTCCAATCCAACATTTGTGGATGCCTGAAATGCCTTGAGCCACTTGTGAATATTGATAGATGCTGATGTGAAAATCAGGATTCACTGGCTGGAGTCTGAAATGTGGGGGAATGTGTATCTATTTTTGGCCGATCACTTGGGATTGTCAGCATTGGTATGTGTATGTTGATGTTCACTGTACAGTATATATAAATATACTGCTTGGAAATAATACTTTCCCCGAGGGCATCAAGATTCCTTCGCAGGACATAGTAACTGCTGGTACAGGATGGTAAGAAGCTGTGGACACTGAGAAGCTGTATCTTGGGTGAACATCATTCATTCTGCCTTGCTGTGACCTTACTATGACTCTGGAGTCTGACCTTATTTGTGGTTCACTGTTACAACCAGTGCTCCCTCTAAGCTGTGTAGTCTTGTGAGCAAAAATCCTACTTTGTGAGCTACTGGCATTAGAGTTGGGAGCGAGCGATTTTGCTACTGCTTAAGTTAGTCTGCTCTGGAGCCATCCTTCCTGAGCTAAGACAAAAATCTGAGCTGGAGGCTAAAAAACTGTGAGCTAGCTCACACTAACTCAGCGGGAACACTGGTCACAGCTACTCTGAAATGGGCAATGAAGAAAAGCCATGTGTGCTAGATCTTTCTTGGCTGTGTTATAGATCCTCCATATATTACTGTCCAGTTCTCCCCCCCCCCTTTCATTTCTAGCACATATATCCTACCTCTGTGGTACGTGGTATGAAATGGATTCAAAATTGTCACAGCACAAGCATTTTGAATCAGATGAATTATCTCGCATGCCAGAAAAGGAAAAAGGTAAGTATTCTCTTGCTTGTCCTCCCTGGTTTATGAAAGCCAGTGTGGGATACTGGTTAGAGAGCAGGTAGAACTGGGAGACCTAGCTTTGAATATCCACTCTATGGGAGCTCACTGGGTGGCCTTAGACCAGTCACCAACTCTCAGCCTAGCTGACCTCACAGGGTTCTTATGAGAGTAAAATAAAGGGGGAGGAGAACAATGTGAGCCATTTTGGGTCACAGCTGAGTAGAAAGGCAAGGTATAAATGAAATAAATAAAGGTATGCCACTTGCTTGCCAAGAACATATGCTTCCTATATGCTGTTGGGAGATGCATTATTTATTGATAAAAATAAATTGGTATATATAGGTGCCAACATCACACCCACAGTACTTAAGCTGAAATAATCACAGGCCGTGTAACGTAAATATTGAGTGGCATACTCATAGTTACAGATAAATATGAGAATGAACTATATTCTTACACTAAAGAATTGCAGCTTATTTTGTGTGATTAAAAAGGAAATACCCTTTGCAAAGAAGTGTCTCAAATGCCTGGTTCTTCAGCCTTGGGCCAGGTATGATTTCATTTGACCTGCTTACCCCTTGCATGCTTTTCCAGCATTTTCCAGGTTTTTTGCTCGCCGCTGTAAACAAGATATCCCCCATGCATTGATACATCCCAGTAATTTAAAATCTTTACTGTGGAGGCACTGGTGTTGCCAGTTTTTCAACTGGTCCCTCCACCTTTAGTATTTTGATCTGCAGCAATTATCAGGTGATGGTATTTAAGGTCCACACCATCAAAAACTTCCAGCCATTTATTTCCACTTATAAAAGAGACAGGACTTCCCCCTGGCCATTTGGCAACTGTGTCGTAGGAGACCACGTGAGTGCAGTTTCCTGGGGAGACTTCCAGAAGCAGCTGGGCGGAGGTGGGGGGGGGATTCTTATATAAGAATGGAACAAGAGCCCATGCAAGATGATGGGAGTTAATGTGAACTCAGCATTTAGCAGGTTTTGGTTTCCTTAAAATAGAAGCAAGAAAGAGTAGAAGGTGAGACTTTAGCAGTTTCTGAGAATATGATAGAGTGACAAATTTAAATAAGCTAGCCAGTGAATTTATATAACTTTGGTAGGGGAGCTTGAGAGGGTGGTATGGAATACACATCAACATTAACACCTTAATCTGTTGGGTCAGATGAGGGTTTAGTGTTACATAATCAGGTGTACGTGAGCTGCATCAGTGCTTCAGCAAAGTCCATCTCTGACACAAGGAGTGCCCTTAGCAGGGTGAATAAACACCTCCTGAGGACCTGGGGTGTGTAGCAAGGTGTATTTTTGGCCAGCCCCATGCAATACCTGTAGTTGTACTAAAGGGACAGGGATGGAGAAGGGAAATGGCAGGCCAGTTGTAAGGCAAGGTGGTAAGCAGTAAAGAGCCAGTTTGGTATAGAGGAGGCATATTCTTTCTTTGTAAAAATCTATTTCTAAAGGGAAAGGTACACGGGAAATCTACAAAACAACAACAGACTGACTGACCACATGATTAGTAATGGAGATTTTTTCTTTCTCCTTGACCCTAGAAGGAAATCACTTGTATACATTAACCAATGATTGTTAGTAAATAGACTCCAGTTTCCTGGGCTTTCTCCCCATCAGCTTTGTGCCAGGTTACCTTCCAGGTCAGTCTAAACAACAGCACACAAGGTAAACACATTAACCCTATAATGACTGAATTTAGACCTTGCAACACACATATGTCCAACAGAGTGGCAGGATTCTAATATGGAGAACTGTGTTTGCTTCCCCACTTCTCCACATAGCCAGCTGGGTGACCTTGGGTCAGTCACAGCTCTCTCAAAGTTCTCTCAGCCCCACCTATCCCACAGGGTGTCTGTTGCGGGGAGAGGAAGGGAAGGTGATTGTAAGCTGCTCCAAGACTCCGAGATCTCACCCCCCGACTCTGCCTGCTGTTTAGCTAACTACCGGAAAGGGGGGGGGGTGCCACAGAAATGGTGGAAGATTGGTGTCTCATCATTGGGGAAGCACCCAGAAGTGACATCATTGTGTTGGGGCAATGCTCTAGACAGTTCAAAAGCTTCTTCAATCCCAGTTTTGTTAAAGAAATCAGTACCATGTTGTCAGCATACAATACAATTAGGAACAATAATCTGTCAATATTTGTCTTCTCAAGCTTCTCCCACAAACGGGTCCTATCAATAGAATCGAAAGCTGAGGCCAAATCAACAAAAACCACATACATGGATTTAGTAGGACCATTCATGTTGGTATAAGCCAGCTGATAAAGCGTTTGACAATGAACCAATGTACTTTGGCCTCTTCTAAATCCTCTGTTTTTGGAAAGATACTTTCCATAGAGTTTGGATGCCGTGTCCAAAAGACTTATGGGACGATAATTGTTTGGGCTGGTTTTATCCCCCTTTTTTTGTGGATACTGGGAATTACTATACTGGGTAGTATACTAGTTTGGGTAAACGTTGGAGTGTTGCCCTAGCATAATGACATCACTTCCAGCTTGTGCCAGAAGTGATGTCATGCCATCAGTGCAATGCGAAAAGGGTAAGTCCCTGCCTCCTGCAATCTGCTGCAGGCCATGGGCCAGCAACCCTATATGTGCATGATGGAACCATCTTGCATGTGTGTGCATACACACACACCAGACAGAGAGCAGAGTCCTAGACTACCCATCTCCCAGATATCTAGTTTTCTAAAGTTTGAGTGGCACATGAAAGTGTGTGTCAGATTAAAATGTGCTAGTCTTTAAGATGCTACGAAACCCTTTGTTACTTTGGCTGCAACATGGCCACTCCTCTGGAATTTGTGTGTTCTGGGCTGGGATTTCTTCGTATAGAGGAGTATTCAGTTCTGTTAGAACTTCTGTGCTGTCAGTTTGCTCCCCCCCCCCCCGATTCCCATATGGTTATAGTGATGAATATTTGAGAAATAATCGGAGTGCCACACTGACTTGCTGTTGCTCCACATATCTATCTATTCCTGAGCTGCTTTTAACTGCTAAGAAGTCTGGATGAGAGTTTATATAATTCCTGGGTTAGAAAGGATGTGTTGTCAAAGAGCCAAGTTTATCTCAGGGCAGAGAGCACATACTACCATGTTGTAGTCTCAGCTTTCAGCACTGGTGCTAATTGCAGCTCCTTGAAATCACTTCAGTAGGATCCCTGAGGGCATTGCTGGATTCGTCATCTTAAGGCCTTTCTATCTTTGATATTTCTATGGTTCCCTTGCCACACAATGAGGTCAAACCTTGTTAGTCATGAAAGATGGCATTATTTTATTTAAGGACTGTGTATGCTACCTCTCCAGAAACCTATTCAAGGCAAACCAAAGATAAAAATACCACAGACAACCTAAATGATCAATTGTAAAGCAAGCCAGTAAAAAATCAAGCTAATAAACAAAACAGTTTCTTCATGAAATGAAGATAGTTTCAGGTGGGTAGCCATCTTGGTCTGAGGCAGTAGAACAAAGTTTGGCCCATTCTGCATATAAGGTTGCCAGGCCTGGGTTGGAAAATACCTGGAGACTTGGGGGTGGATCCAGGAGAGGGTGGGGTTTGGGGAGGGGAAAGGCCTCAGCATGGTACAATACCATAGAGTCCACCCTTCAAAGCAGCCATTTTCTCCAGGGGAACTCATCTGTCAGCTGGAGATCAGTTGTAAAAGCGGCAGATCCCCAGGCCCCACCTGGAGGCTGGCAACCCCAGGCATCTAGCATTCACTCCATTGTTGTACCAAACCCACACTGGAACAGAAAAAGATGTGGCTCAAAACCACATTCAAATACCCCAGGCCAACGCCATACTGATTGCAGAGTCACCCCTGAATGGCCATAAAACGGCCATAAATCTATGCAGACGGTGGTACCGAGAGACCAAAGGAAGTGGAACCGGCATGCAGTGTGGAGGCTATAATAAAATCCGACAATCAAAGAAAGTCAAAGTGGCCTGCAATGTAAAGGAGAATTTCTATTCCAATGTGGGTTTGGTAAAACAGCAGAGCAAATGCTAGATGCAGAATGGGCCTCTGAGTCCACTGGCAGCTTTAAAACCAACAACATTTTATTCGAGGTATAAGCTTTTGTGTGCATGCACACTTCTTCAGATATCAAGTGTACATGCACATGAAAGCTTGTACCTTGAATAAAACTTTGTTGGTCTTAAAAGGTTCGTGAAATGAAGTACTTCAGTCATTGAGGTAGCATTTCTTTTCTGCTTTGAGAGATTATTTAGTATTTATTGAGATATAAGCTTGAGGTCATAATGGTTTACAGATCAGGGAGAGGAAAGTTTTTTGGGTCAAGTCCCCACCCTGCAAAAAAAAAAAAAAAGGTGGGTAGAGAACAAAAAGGCTCCTCCTTGGTCAGGTGTGCAAGAATAAACTTGGGTCTGGGAGATGACAATGGGCATAAGCCATCTCCACTGCCTTCTCTTGTGCTGGCATCTCCCTTTTGGATCAAATGAACTCCCATCTCTCCCCAACCAAACCTAAGGTAGCTCACAGCTTCTACCTACAAGCCAGTTGGGAACCTACAAGATAGTCCAATAGACCAGGTATGTCCAACAGGTAGATCGCAATCTACCAGTAGATCGCAGAGGGGTCAGAGGTAGATCACCAACCCCACTTGGTCTCCTGGTTTGCTGGAGAGGTGTTTGGGGTTTTTTGATGATTGATTGGTGGTATTTGATTATTGGTGCCAGTATGATGAATTCTTATTTTTACTTTAGAACTGCATGGGTGGTTTTGACATCATTCAGAGGTTAACATGTCTACACCACAGATTTGGGCCCATCTAGCTGTAATGGGCGTGTCACTTTGGGGATGAAAAAATGTAGGTGGGAGGCAGGCTCTCCTCCTAACCCACACTGCAGCAATCCAACCAGAACTGGACGCCTGCAGCAAAGTTTCAAGGAGTTCCTGGCTGGGAACTCACTTTTCACAATGGCTGGTCATCTCTAGGTGAAATCTGGGAATGCCCATCATGATCAGAGCCAATACTAACACACCTAAAATTAAAATCAGGATGCTTCAGAAATGCCCACTGCTAGGGTTGCCAAGTGTATCTTCGCCGAGAGCAGGAGGCTCCCGGCCGACGTCTTGTGCGCGCACGCGCTTTGTGCACGCACGCCACACGCACGTCACCCGGAAGTGACGGGAGGATGCCAGGCACGCTGGGGGCAGGGCCACACCCATACAAGGGAAAACCATAGAGTTTTCCCTTGTATGGCCGTGGCCCCGTCCCCGGCGTGCCTACGTCACTTGCTAGTGACGCGCACGCCAGGGGTGGGGTTTCCCCGGGTCCCCGATTCCGCCGCGTTGGAAATCGGGGCTTCAAAGCGGGGGATTCCCCGCCCCCTGGCCACATTTGGCAGCCCTATTTGAAACTCATTTGAAACTTTATTTTCATGGTGGTAGACCACCGGCACTTTTGGCCAGAAAAAATAGATCACTACTTGTTTGAAGTTGGACATGCCTGCAGTAGACTGATGCTAGGGGTCAGGTGCCTGCGATACCAAACGGGGTCTGATGAGAACATGCACAATTTTGCATGGAGGGTGGCTGGGGAGAGCCATATTCTTGGCTCCCTTGAGAAATATCCCACCTGTCTTCTCTTTATTACATTATTGTAACTTTTCTAATTGGTTTCTCAGTCTCCCTGATGTCGAGCGAGAGAGAAATAAAATTCTATTATTGCAGCCTTATAAATAGAAATCATGATGGATAACAGCTCCAGCAGGCCACATCTATCATGATAAACAATTCATTATATTCCTGGATAGTGACATAACTCAAACAGCTTGCTATTTAAGGGAATGGCCTGTTGGCCCAAAGGATAAAGATGAGTTCATTGTGCTATCTTTGGCTACCTCTCTTTGTTGCTATAATGCACACACTTTTTATCGCTTTGTTACTAGGACAAAATGGAGACAAGCAGATAGTTGCAGAAATCATGGGAAGACGTTTCTCTCCTTCACTAATAACCACCCGAGCCTGGGAAAGATTCCATTTTGTTGGACATGAGATAGAGATTACAGAAGCCACTGACAGTTATGGAGCTGTGGTCTGGCCTTCGGTACTGTTTTCGCTTTTGGTTTTGGTACCAGAAACAAAGCACTATCAGTGATTCCGTTTGATTCCCTCTTTAAATCCTGTAAAATGTGACTTCATATGGTGCTTACACAATGGGGGATTAGTGTACGCATGTTCTAGTGAACGCATGTACAACCTGCATGCCTGTTAAGGTTACCAATTTCCAGGTGGGAGGGGGGGCTGGAGATCTCACAGAATTACAGCTGACTACAGAGAGCAGCTCCCATGGAGAAAGTGGCTGCTTTGGGGAGAGGACTGAATGGGTTTCATAACCCAGCGAGATTCTTCCATTTCCCAAATCCTGCCCTCCCCAGTCTGCACCCACAAATCTCCAAGAATTCCTGAACCCTGAGGTGACAACCCTAACATATGTACATATACCTGCTTCTAAGAAAGATCCAAAGGGCTTTACAATTGAAACTGAGGATCAGTACCTGGATAAATGTGGGGTCTGAAACACACATTCAGCTGTACATTCACTGAACAGAAAATGAATTACTCAGCACCTGTGTAAAGAACAATTGAGTGTACACTGTACCCGGATTGTGTGTGAATACACTGCATTTTGTGAACACGGCTACTATGTCTGTCCTGATCACTAATGACGTTTCCAGATTTCCCTGATGCTCATGCATTGACTATCCCTTTCAAAAGGGCCCCCGCATGCTGAAGGTCCAATGATGGGTGTGTTTACTTGGATATGACTTCAGTCCATATGAAGTAGCTTCAGGTGGGAACTGGCCAGTTCAAATCCCAAAGTATGTACATGAAAAAGTTTACATGGTGTTGAGCAAATGCTCCTGAGCCTCTCATTTGGAGCCTATGTTAACCCTTTAAACCAGGGGTCCCCAACCTTTTTGAGCCTGCGAACGCCTTTTGACACAGCATGGTGGGTCAGCCAAAAAATAGCTGCCAGAAAATGAAAAGTTTAATTTAACCCATTTGCACACATTTGTTGTTGTTCAGTCGCACAGTCGAGTCCGACTCTTTGCAACCCCATGGAACACATCACGCCAGGCCCTCCTGTCTTCCGTTGTGCTCCGGAGCTTGCTTAATTTCATGTTTGTTGCCTCGATAACACTGTCTAACCATCTCATCCTTTGCCGCCCACCTTCTTCTTTGACCTTCAGTCTTTCCCAGCATCAGGGTCTTCTCCAGTGAGTGCTCCCTTCTCATTTGGTGGCCAAAGTATTTGAACTTCAGCTTCAGTATCTGGCCTTCCAGGGAATAGTCAGGGTTGATTTCTTTAAGGATTGACTGATTTGGTCTCCTTGCAATCCAAGGGACTCTCAAGAGTCTTCTCCAGCACCAAAATTCAAAAGAATCTATTCTTCGGCGCTCATCCTTCCTTACAGTTCAACTCTCGCAGCCATGACTTCCGGTTGATGGCGGCACGCTCACGGACTCACCTCCCGGACCTCTCGGGGATGTCTCCGTGCTCTGGGGGACGGAGGGGGTGAGCAGGCTCGTAACCCCCCCAGGAGCCCGGGGAAGGGCACCTGGCCAAGGAGCTTTGAGGGGGTAGCCTCTTCTCTGGCCGAATGCCAGAGAATCGAGGCTCCCCCTTGCTCCAGTGGTCCGTCCAGCCGAGAGACTTGATGGTACAAGTGAAGCTAGCCGGGTCAAGCACAGGAGATCAGGCATTTGAAATGATGAATGAAGAGGGGTCAAAAGACCAACTATGAACGTGAGTCAAACGAGAACTGATTTTTAAACGAAAAGACACTCCTTACCCGAAGCGGCGAAACGGCAGAAGCGAGTGGTGGGAGGGACGCCTCCCATGCCCATAAATCGTTGAGCGAAAGGGGAGGGAGTGGAAGAATAAACAAGAAATTGCCCAGAAGTACTCATCCATCGAGCTATACAGATAAGCGCATATTCAGGGACTTTAAAATTTATTGCGAAAGCAAACAAACGAGAAAAAGATGGCGGGGAAGAGGGACAGAGACAAAGAGAAACTTTTAAAAGCGAAAATCCCCACTGGAAACGACCAGTGAGATGACGAAGGTGATGACAGAGGTCATGTGCCCTCTGCTGGAACAGCTCAATGTATTTAAAGAACAGATGTCTGTTGTAACAGCGAATATTACTGCACAAGAAAAGCAGCTGCAAGTTGTGACAATAAGCATTACTGCTCAACAAACGCAAATAACGGATTTGATTCAAGTAATGGAGCAGGATGCTGAGAAAGTAAAGGAAATGGCTGAGACAACGCAGATAGTGAGGAAAAAAGTGCAAAAAT